AAGCTGCGATTACGACCTATTAAATTTGTTTTCCTCTTAGCTTAACGATTATTTCCACAAGGTTTGTAAAATCCATAAGAATGAGTGCTTTCCACAGTCGAAGTACATGCTACTTAATTATTTGTGAGTTTGTACGCCTTTTCAAAAATAAACTCACTCCAAACATTAAGTCCCTTGAAAGCTGTTGCCGGCATAAATAATATCTAAAGAAGATTATATACCGGCAGAATATTTAAAGTTGCCCGCAGAATACTCAGTAAAAATTACTTCAATGTTTAAATTTGAACAAATGGTATAAATAATATATTTGCTTCCAATGTAAGAAATTTTTAGATTCTAATTTGCATAATTAATTCGATTTTCAGGATTATGAACAAGGCATCAAAATATGTAAAGATGCTGATGAAGGAATAATTAGGGTTCTTTATAAAATGGTCAAAAAAACAATGCGGTTAAATTAAGGGCTGTCTTAAAGAAAAAAGCATATTATAACAAAGGATGAAGTTTGTAAAACATGATCAAGAATTCTTTAGATCATAGCAGAGTAAATTTGTTAATTAAAAGAATTATTTACATAAGTTGGGGCCTATGGATTGCGAGGACTTCAGAAAACACTTTTTTTTTAAATTATTAACTAGTGGTGTATGGCATCGTGCCTTAAGGCAAATTGCTGGAACTTCCCGTAACGTAACGAAATGTTCGAGGAATATTAAATGTTTTCAAATAGATTATTATAAATGCTGTAATATTGTCTAATATTTATAAGGATTATATAAACTGAATCACAGAGTCAAAAATATGTATTTAAAGTATATAAATGAGCTTTAAAACTTTAGCCAGAATTAAAATTAAAATCTGAATCCAAAAAAAATTTTTTTTTAATTTGAATTTTTTTTTTAAAAGCAATTGTTCTGTCATCACAAGCAGAAAGTTTTTTGAATCATTCAATTCGGATGCTTATTTCTCTCAAAAACTGCCATTTTTTGTACATTTAGCTTTGTATCTTCGAAATGGCTGGGCCTGCCTTTGTCAAAAACTAATAACCACTGCTCTCGATCATTACTAATTCAATATTCTTTAGATCATTCAAATCGGATGCTCCGTTCTCTCAAAAACTCGATGTTTATTTTTTGCACACTTTGCTATTTATCTCCGTAATGGCTGGACCTGCCTTTGCCAAAAAACAATCAGCACATCTCCCTATCAATAGGAATCGAATGTTTTTTGAATCATTCAAATCGGTTGATCCGTGCGCTCGAAAACGTGGACGAATAATTATATCCATACATACATACACACACACACATCCATTTTTTCTGAGGTATGCCAACTAGTTCAGAAACCTTCAAAACGTGGAGAAATGCAAAAATTTTCATTTTCGAATTTCGGCCCATTACTATAACTACCCTACTAGAAGTTAACAATGATTTAAAAAAATATATATATATTTATAATAAATATAGTAATTTTCAATTTCGGGGCATATTTTAAGTGCTCAAGCGATAATAAATTACATTACACTACAAATTTTCATAACATAAACTATATTGATCGAAATATTCAAAATTGTTCCTTCAATATACCAAAATCCCTCATGTTTCAATACCATGAGATATTTCCTCCTTTGATTTCGGCTCATATTGCAATATTGTAAATGCCATTGGAAAATATATCAAATATCACATGTGATACACAAAGAAAATATGCCATATGGAGCAGTGTAATTATAGAAAAATAATCCGATTACATGGAAACATCGGATGATGGTGCAGCGAGAAAAATATAATAATACTATAAAGGTAATATCTCCGGCAAAGAATTACGGTATCCAATTTCGAGTTGGGTCAAAAGGTGGGCGAATCTCGAGGTTGTGGTTTAATGAAATGATATTATTTACTTTGGTAGGCACAAAGCTTTTTGTACACAGTAGCATATTCACAAAAGTTTATTCAACAAAGATATTTATTAGGAAAGTAAAAATATTGGTGAAATTTCTCATTAATTATTTTTTGTAAAAATTTAACTGCTAGATTTCTTTATATGGTTCAGTGGTAATTATGGCGATACAAAGAATTTGTCATTCAACGAAAATCTATACACTGATTTACATTATCTCCTCAATATCCAGAATCTCTCGACCGATTTGTCAAAGGATTTTTAATAAAAGAGAGTCTTTTACCAAGTAGAATCGAATCCGATAGAAAGCACCTGCAGAGATATATATTCTTATATTAAGAACAAGCGAAGCGGTGAACTGGCGAGATGAAAAACAAAAAAGCCTTTCTGATGAATGTAAATTTACTTCCTAAAATAGCGGAAAAACGAACAGAAGGAAATACAAACGCCAGAACAAATAAAAATATGCTGATGTTTTTCGACTGCATGAATTATATATAAGACGGCTTAAGAGAAGAGCAAAATATTTGCTATAGTATTCTGTCTAATTTATATTTTCTAGTCCAATGCCTCCACATGTCGTCTTTCGTATCTTTTACATTCACTTTTTCCTGATGTCGAAATATATTATATTCTATATATATATATACATATGTATATATGTATAAATATATGTATATATGTATATAATTATAATGTTAGAAATAACTTACCCATGTACCGAATACTTCGGACCTTATTTGGATAATTTCTAAATAGATATTTTATTTCATCTGCAATCAATCCATACTATATTTCTACCATTAAAATATATTCTGGAATATGATTTTTTTCAAATCTCTGTCCTGTGCTTTCATATCAAAACTAACATTGTTGCTGAAATCACCATAAATAAATATATACTGATTATTCATAAATATAGTAAAAAACAATAATTGAAATTAAATAATTAAATAAATTAATCAGGAAGTTCATGAACTAGAAAATTTAAGTTGAACCTAATGCACATTTTTTTTGTAAACTATAATAATATATATATATATATAATATATATAAAAACTAGTGGTATATGGCACCGTGCCTAAGGTAAATTTCTGGAACTTTCCGTATGGTAACAAGAAATATAAATATTTTCAAATAGATTATTATAAAGCTGTAACAGTGTCTAATATTCATAAGAATTATATCAATGAATTACAAAGTTAAAATTATTCATTTAAAGTATATAAGTGTTCTTCAGAACTTTAGCCAGAATTAAATTAAAATCTGAATTATTTTCGATATAATATATAAATTTTTTTTGTAAAGAAAAATTATTTTAAATAAAAAAATAATTCCAAAAGCAATTGATTGGTCAACACAAGCTGAAAGTTTTTTGAATCATTCAAATCGGAGGCTTCATTCTCTCAAAAACTACCATTTTTGTGCATTTAGCTCTGTATGTTCGAAATAGCTAGACCGCCTTTGCCAAAAACTAATAACTTCTCCCAATCATTACAAACTAAATGTGTTCTAGATCATTCAAATCGGATACTCCGTTCTCTCAAAACTCGATTTCTATTTTCTGCTATACTTGCTCCGTATCTCCATAACGGCTGGACTTGCCTTTTCCAAAAACTAATTAGCACATCCCGTATTAATTGGAATCGAATGTTTTTTGATGTTTCATCATTTATTTATAAATACCTGTATAATAAAATTTTACTTCTTTTAATTGTTAATACATAACAAGCACCGACTTGGCAAATATTGTTTTGAATAGAATATTGTTGCACCGAATTTATTTATATATGCATTTGACAAGAGCTATAATTACATTAATTGATATAAAAATATTCATGTTCTGATGCTTCTACAGAACATATAAATTACATAATGTACCTGCATACGAGTACATGTCATATGAAGAACATATAGGAGATTGAACAAGCGTAAATTATCACTGTTTTAGTAATATACAATATAGTAATAAAATGAAATACTTGATAGATATTTTTTTATAAAATTTTGCTTTGTGTTAAAAAAATTACAAAAAATATGCAAATGGCTGTAGGAGTTTTTGAAGAAATTGGCTGCACTAATAAAATAGAAATACAATCCTTTAATAAAATGTATTAAAATTCATGAATAATGTTATACAACCATATGCTTTATGTATTTATTTGAATTTTTTTCAAGACTCCATAGATTTTTCCATGTCTCATATTTCCCGGAAAATCATTCGAGACATTGACACAACATTCTAGTATTATGCCAGCCTAAAGTGTAGTCCTTGTATGTAATTCCGCGTGTGTGGTGATCCTAATGGATTGTGGGATTTGGAGCGATTGCTCGGGTTCTCCCAGCTTTCAGTCTCTTGTGACTAAATTTGTTCCCGAAACAGATTTCCATGGAGACATTCGTTTTGGGATCAAAGAGAACAGTCTCAGCCTTCTTATTCAACAGTTGCTTACTTGCCAAATATCATACAGAATTTGAATTTAAATATTGCTAAAATTTGTCTAAATGAATATTATTAATATCAACAACTTTTGAAAACTGCAAGGTTCAACAAAAAATTGTTTTCAAATAACTTGTATATTAATTACCATGCTCTTGAAAAATGACTCGAATATAGAGCATATTATAGCGATATAAAGATGACTAGTGATGACCATAATTTCATAATAAAAATAAAGAAATATTTAAAAAATTTAAAGATGAAAAAGATTTCTGATGAAAATGTATAATATTATCATATAATAAATTTTAAAAAATCCATAATGTAGTTAATTAATTAGAATTTGGACAATACCATTCGATAACAAACTATTTTAAAAAATGCTTACCGACCTAAATTTAAAAATAATTTCAATCAATTTTGTTTCACTATTTTTAGTTGTCAAGATATAACTGCAAATCAACTGTTTTTTTTTTTTTTTTGAAAAGTACTATGGGCTAAATTCAACTCATCTAGTATCATCATACAAAAAAATGAAGGTTTATAGCACATTTTAATTAATTTTTATTCATGTTTTCGGACTTTGTTAAAATTTGAAATACATATTATTTTTTTAAATCACTTGTGGAATCTACAATCAAAATTCCTTAGCTCTCCATGTAATATGTCAGAAAATTTAAATACATCATCGCGGAAAGACAACAATGGCGTTGGGTCTAGGACTAGTAAGTATCATATCACATTCGTTAATATTTATAAGTTAATAATTAAGTCAGCAATGTAATAAAATGTTTAGCACAAATAACTAGTGTTTTGCATTGTTACGTCAAATGTGTGTCAAATCACAAATCTACAAAGACACGGGTATACCTACAATTCAAGAATATATATCAATGTTTGCCTGTAATTATAATAAGAATTGAAGAATAGAACTGACTTATACCAGGAATAAGACGACCAGAAAGAAGTATAGATAGATTATACCAGGTAAAGAAGTCAGCCGACCAGTCTCAAAAGGAAAATACCTCGAGATCTAATATAGTTTATTTTATTTTTTTTTCTCCATATTTGTCTTTAGTTTTTTTTATATCAACTATAGTAGATACGCTACTGGGCGTATCTACTTATTTGTAAACAATCAATTGTAAACAACTTGTCAGCATTCTCTGCTAAATATAATTATTTTAATAGATTTCAGAATAAAAATAAAATAACACAAAATAAAGAAATCACGAATTGAAGAATTAAGAATATCTGAGTGTTTCACATATTTTGTTCTCTAGGTTCAAAAATTTTCAACTTAAGAGATATTTCACCAGCATGGGAGGGGTCACCAAGTGGATCAGCATGTTCACAAGACTCCGGTTCGAGTATTCCAACATCATCCAGACGAGCTCAAAGTCGCCAATCGGGTATAGCTGTTCTAAAGAAAAGCTCAACCAGGCCATCGAGTGTCAGCTCAGTAAATTGCAATAAATTCAATACAGTGCTTTATGGTAATTTAATAATTCATTCACATAATTGTTACTGTAGGCCCTCACCGATAGAAGTTCCGCGAAGACATCTTCCAAACAATCGTCTGCGCGGTCAGTTAGTGTGGATGAGGTATGATTAATAATAACAAACTAGTTGGTATTTGTATTTAGCCTTAAGGCAAGTTACATGAACTTTCCGATATGTTGAAATAATCGACTTAATCAAATAAAAAAACAAATTAATTTATGTGCGATTAGAAGTATTCCGAGAGGAATTATTACCCATAATTGAAAACGAACGAACACTTACGTGTATTATCTAAGAGCAATCTAACGGAGTATTTTCTAAGAGAAAATTTTCACAAATCAAAATTTTTATAATTGAATCAGTTTCCGTACAACTTTAATGGTTTTGTATGTTCATCAAGACCAACTACTCTATTGTTATAAAGTAAATCGTCTAATTTTATTTTAATAAACGTCAAGAACTACTCATTTTCTCAAACTTTGATGAATTTTTAAAATTAAACTACTTGTCGTAAGGCCGTAATATTTCAGTGAGTTCTATAAGACCATGATATGTATCGCCAAAAAAAGTTTCATAAAAATCGGCTTGTTTTTTTTTTCAACAGTTAATTACAAGAAAACGGCTCGGTAGATTTTCACCTAAAACTAATCAGTAACATTCCCAACTAATCTTTCGAATAGTTTTTGATTTTTTAAAATCGGTTCGGTAGGATGATCGATTCGATAAATGTGGACGAAAAGTTTAACAGGCGTTTTAGAAAACGTCGATGAAATGACTAATTTTGAGAAATGCCAAAAGAACGATACCAATTTTGCAAACTTTGACGAAATTTAAGGCTAAACGAGTTGTCGTAGGGCCGTAATATTTTAGTATGATCTAGAAGACTATGGTATCTACAATGAAAAAAAAATCATAAAAATTGTCGAATTTTTTTTTTCAAACTTTATTACAAGAAAACGGCCCCGGCCGATCTTTACCAAAAACTAATCAGCACGATTCCCAACCAATATCTATCGAACGGTTTTTGAATTTCCAAATCGATTCAGAATTGCGGGCTAAAACGTGGACGAAAATTTTTTCACTTCT